GGACCTAGCATCTCAATCTTTGAAGATGTCGGAATACCTTTATCCTAATAATCATCTCTCTCAGTCAAACAAGTTATGGAACATCTGAGACTCTGTCTTGTGAAGCTACTTCTCCAAGCTCAGGTATCCTTTTTATCACCATGTCTGCTATGATTTAGACACCATTGATGTTGTTGTGTTTGTCCTAGACTTCTGTATTTGGAGATGGTGTCTGAAATTTGGCATGGATTCCTCAACAATTTTCTTGTTAGAATTTCTGTTTTCTTTCTTTGTACATCCTTATGTTGAATTTATTGTAGGATCTGTCAATATATCATACCAGAAGAGATTTTTATATATTTTATATTTTTTCCGGGGGGGGGGGGAGGATTGGAGGATGCCGAGACTTAGTATGTCTATTACGATTACTTTCATATAAGTTTACTAGCAATAATATCAAATATGATTTGGCCTGAACCGACCTGAAGCATACCCTATCATGACCTGAATTTTGTACCAACAAAAAAAACCTCTTTGCCACCTCTAAAGCAATTTGTGGTCATGCTTCTTGTTTTATAAATGTTCATTACCATAAAAATCCTATGCTTTAATGGGGGTAGGGGTGTAGGGCCGTAGGGGGGTGACTGCCGACACTTAATATGTCTAATACGTTTTATTTAACATAGTAAGATTGTTGGCAATAGAATTAAATATGATTTGGCCCAAACTGACCTGATTCAGTTGAACATACCCAAACATGACTTGACATGGCCTGAATTGTACCACGTCTGAACAACCCATTTCCCACCTCTAGATGTATATCTGGTGAGCAATATATGGCCATGCTTCCTCTTTAAATGTTCATTATCTTAAGAATCCTTTGTTTTAAATTTTGGAAGGGCAGAACTATTTTATGTCTCAGTCTATCTCAGCCTCAGCATTCACTTGCTAGCTACCTAGGTGCCCGTGGTGTTGAGATATAATTCATCATGTTTATGATATCAATGGTCATCAATAATCTTGGACATTGGCTTTTAATTTACATTTGTTTAAATTTCCTTCTGATCACCAAGTATTCATTTAGTGATGGATGTGTGCGTAATGAAAGTTAGTTCGAGTAGCCAATCAGGAAAACCAAAGGAATTAAAAAGCGTTGAACAGTGAATTATGCATGAGTGACCCAGTGAATCATATTGGAAATTGCCTTACGAAACAGAGGAGTTCTGAGGTTTCTAAATTCACATAAGAAGGATCCAAGTCCCAAAATAAAACGATCGAGGAATTTACCCAGCACCCGACCATGTTCTGATGAAAATTCCTCATGTTAGAGACTCAAAGGTCAACTCTTGGTACTCCCTCATTCAGAAAGATGGTGCTTCTGTTCAGAGTTCTGATGTGACTGAAGAAAGTGTGGATGGAAAAGCCAATAACCATGAACCTTAGTTATTGGATCAGAATACAACTAATGAGGGTGACAACTACAGCTGGGGGAGATGGCGGCAATCAGACACCAAGCATGCCAATAATTGATCTTTTGGGGATATGCTCCTCCATCTTCCGCGGTTTGCTTCACTATCAAAGTTCTTGTTTGACATTTGTAAAGATGGGGATAATCAAAGGCGCGATAGAAAAATGAGAAGTTTACTCTTATACTATCATTGTTTACGGGTATTGCAGATTTTCTCAAGGGGTTTGATATATGAAGTGATTGACTGTGATGACTTTTGGAGACTGAATTCCAAACTGCACCTTGTAAATTGGTAGGATTCAAAATTTTGGGTTGATGATGAATCCCATTATATAATTATATAAAGATGAACCACAGATGGGATAAGCTATAGTTTTTTTTTTTAAGTATCTTGTCTGCAAATATTAATGTAGTTTATCTTAGAACTTTTATTCTTTGAATCCCAACTGTGACTTGTTTAATGACATTAAAAGTTCTGAAATATCATGCTAGTTTTCTCTCTTGATTGTGTCATTTTCATTCCTTAATTTATAAGAAAAAAACATTAGGAAGTCCATGTGAGAGAAACAGGAATTTGTGTCCAAAATATCTGCCAAACGCAGCGAGCATTACGCATAAAATCCTCGAAAATTTATTCTTTTTCGTCTAAAGTCTGAAAACTTGGTTTTATTGGGCTACCATACCAACGAGGAAGTCTAAAGGCCTCACAATGCTGCACAAGCAAGTGCATCACAATGACATCTTCGTAGGGTGTAGGTATTAGTACGACCCTACACTAGGATGTAGGTATTAATAATTAGGACAGGTCAGTGCAAAAGTAAAGTAGGCCATTAATAGGGCGAGAATGCTTTTATTCTCTGCTTCTTATCAAGATTGTTTAGGATAGTATATGAACATTGTTGACGTTATTTTACAAAAGTCAAAGGTATATGTGCATCATTGAAGCATAAAATGAACATACAGGGAACCTCTTTTTAATTTCATATACTAGAAGTAGAAAAAGTAGATTGTTGCTAGCATTATTATTGTCAAATTGAGTGCATAAGTAGGAAGCTCAATGAGTCAAGCTTTAGCATAAAATTAACAGATATGTTTAGAAGCATAAATTTTAAGGTCTCAACTTGCTGCACATTGATCCGGGGATAGAAAATTCAGGTACAATTTTACAGACATATTTCTTTTGAGAATAAAAACCCCATGCGTAAACAACAGTAGTTCCATGTTTAACTTCTCCAGAAGTAGCTTAGCTCACATAAGAAAAAGTCAGCTCTATACTTAAATCTCAAGCAACACAATGATCTGTCTGAACCAAAAAATAAATCAGGCTTGCTACTAGTGTTGCAGACATCAGAGGGTATGCATCTAGTGGATCAATTCATTTATCGACCCCCTTCACCTACCTGCAAACTGCGTAATTGTATACATGATAAGAAAATAATCAGATAATAACGGAAATATATCTATAACAAACTTATGTATAACAAAAATATATCTTTACATTGTAAGACAGCAAGCAAGAACGACATCTGATATTAAATTGGTAGTTCATTGTATTTAGGTGATATTAACTACTTGTATGTTTGATTGCTAAAGTCTATCCTTGATACAGAGAGTAATTATATAGCATATCTTAAAATCTATCAAGTTAATCATGTTTACAAAATATGAATAGCTGCTAACAAGATTCGATGAGGGAGTTGTGTTATATTATCTAGAAGGCTTAGCTGAAGCTGAGGATACACACATAGGTTCATACATTTCTCTGCCTCACATTGACCCCCAATGCCCACTACATTCTACAATTTTGACAGATTTTTTTGCCAACAGAACAGCAGTGAAGCAATAGCCATAATACTCCAACTACAATTAGACAAAATACATCAATAACATCAACCTGCATTGACTTTTCTGCAAAGACTAATCTACACCCAGAGAGTTGGAACACAAACTCAGAGACATGAATCTTAGTACTCATAAACAATAGTAAAATACAATACAATAAGACATAACACATCAATTGGGAACTTTTCTGCAAAAACTAATCTACACGCAGAGAGTTGAATGCAGACTCATAGACATAAATCCAGTACTCCGTATGCATAATTTTATTTTAAACCTGTACATAACAAAATAATTTGATGGACGTTTCATAGAGATGAGAACATGGAGTGAAAATTCAGAATAAGATTATGAGATTTTTCAAGAAATGACGCAACTACAAAGAGAAAAAATATCAACTGAAACAGGAAACAAGAAAAGGAATAAGTAACAAGTGATGTACCGATAGTTGTCCAACCTTTTAGTTTCAGCAATGACAATGAATGTAATTATTATACGAGACTTCCAAAAGGAATTAGAAAGAAAATATTAAATGTTATAAGAATCATACAACATAATGTATGTGTAAAGACATTTAGTTTAATCTATGTGTCAATTAACAGTTATTTACAATGCCTTTTCACAGTAGTTTGTTGCATATTCCGCAAAAGTACGCCTAGTCCAAAAGTTCAATTACCCATCATCACCAATAAACCAAAGAAATAATGCCAAATTACGCACTTCTAGTCCACTACAACTCATGTAACAAGGAGTATCAAAAATTCCAAACATACAAATTAACTCATAAATGACATGCTTAATACCCAATACCAAAACACACTCTACACCCATCACATACACAATACCACTCAACAACCATCACGTGTGCAACACCTATCACATACTCACATCGTCAAGACACACAAGCAATAATACGAACCCTTTGCCCACACACCTCAAACACTATTCACACACAATGTAACCTAAAACAACCACTAACTAGAGTCACAAAATGTCTAAAAAAAACCCGAAAACACCACACCAAAATAGCCCCCAAATCGATATCAAATGCTTACCAGGAACAGGAAATCAATATTGAGATCCACAACTTGAAAATCTTTTAAGAACATCTGAAAATGACTCTGTATATCCCTGTTAAATTAAAAAGTGTTAAACAAAAATTTTAAACAACATAAAAGATGTACATTAGAAATAACAAAATATTAAATTCTTACCAACTAGAATTTTTTGCATAATCACACAGGGCGTCATAAAGTGTTGTATATATTGAAGGAAACACTTTTGTAATTAGACTTTCTCTTTCCTCAAGAGTCAAACCACCCTATAAAAGATAAAGATAAAAAAATTAGCAGCATGCAATAATTAATTAATATTTTCGTAAATAAAATAGAAAGAAAGTCATTACCTTTTTCCCGCGTATAGTATCATATTGATAGTCATTAGCATGGGAAAACACTGCATGAATAAAATTAATGACACGAAATGGTTTAACATAAAAGTCATGTCTTGTAGTTTAGATGCTGACAATAACAAGTCATTTGAGACTTCAATCCTCCAATTTTGAGTCCTAAAATTCGGAGTCATTTTATTATTGAAAGCCTTCTCATTGATTAACCTTTCTTTAATAGCCTCTTCAAGAGACTGGATGAATGAAACCCGATGATTTATCGACCAGATAAACGGGTGATCAATCAACAACATTGGATGAATGTTATCACATCTGTTAGAAATAAAAACATAAAATTTTTAATCATACAAGTATACCTATTTATTAAAAAAAAAAAAAAAACTTTATAAGTAATGTACAGTTGCAGATAACAAGCTTTTTAATAGTTACATAAACAAAATATACAAAGTATAATATTAGCATAAACTGAACTTATAATGAATAAAAAGAATATAAAAACAGATTTAAGGGAAATTTACTTACATTTTCCTGACTCTTAAGCTGTTTAAAAAAATGACCTAATTCTGAAGGCAGTTCATAAGATAGCTCAAATTCTTTACGCCAAGTTTCCAAATCTGGTCTTGATCTTGGTCTTATCAAAGTAATGACTCCTTCAATAATGGACAACAAATCAGACACTTCTTTTTGCGCTTGACTGAATGTAAATTTTTCTTGAGAAATATGCAATATTTTGGCTTCTCCCTCCTCAGTAACGTAGAGTGATTTTTCCAGATCACTACAGACTTTTTGATCTGAATATATGGCAAGCATGCCACATATTACGCCTCTACAATACAATAATATATTATTAAATTTCATTCATAAAATAAAAATATAATAAATTAACAAAGTAAATTTTTTACCGAAATATTGATAGAAAGTCGTCTTTGATATATTCCCACCATTTTTTACAAGTTTGAGCCATTGCTTCCGATTTGAAATCTTCAAGCTTCAATTCAAAGAACACTTTTACTGGACGGACCGGCTCAACAATTGCTACCCTACTGGAAAGGGAGTGGAAATACATTGAAAATTCAATTTTCAATAGGCATGAGTTTTTCTTAAGCCTAATTGAGACATCTGAAGTAGAATTCTCGCCAATTTTGATATACGACTTGGGAAAAGAACTCCCGCCTATCTTCATTACACCAAGATATGAAAATTCATCAAGCTGGGTCATTTCAAAGTATATCACACCATCCTCTGTAAACTGTAAATATATATTTATCAATACAGAATAGAGAAAATTGTTTAACAAATAAAACGATACATATTGTTCTAGACAACTCTTGATCCTTGTGCAATAACACTGAATCTAGACAACATATGTTCTTTAACTGCTCTTGCAATCATTATTGTTTTACTGTTCTATAGAAAATGGCTTAAAATCTCTACTAACTTTGCTTATGTTGAAGATTGTAACAGATAGCTTATTTCAAATTGATATATTAAAGATGTCTCGCTGGTTTAGTATACTATATTTGGCAGCAAAGAAACAAAGCTATGTAGACTTTTCATCATGATGATCATACACATGTAACTAGTCCTCCGAAACAAAATATGCATTATAGAATTTACAGATTTCTTCCAGGAACTAGTAGTGATGAGCTAATGATGTTAAATGGTTGAGAACTGTATTTAAACATGTAGTCTTTTAACTCTTAGTGTTTGTTACGCTTAGGTCTTGAATGTAATGGCTAATCAGTGACCTAATAATATTTTTTGTTCTTTCCAAATAAAAAAAATCATAAAATTAACGAAAAGTTGAGAAGAGATTACCTTCATCATTTTTTGGGAAGAGGCATCCACACCCAAAGATGAGGGATCCAAGGTCAAAGAAGGGATCGCCAAAGTCGAAGCGGACGCAACCAAGGTCGAAGTGGATGCAGCCTTGGTCGGAGTGGATGCAACCTTGTCTGTCGGGTGGATGCAGCCTTGAGTGGAAGAGGTGGCAGCCTTGGTGGAAGAGGAGGCAGGAGCCTTGGTGGAAGAGGAGGCAGCACGCTCATCATCCAAAAATTTACTAGCTCTTTCCACTGCAATTCTATCCAAATCTGGTTGAACTTTCGATTGTAGTCTTTTTATCCATTTGAGACAGTTTTTGAATGCTTCATCATCTACACAGACTGCACCCTTCTGATCATGCACATATTTATAAAGGAGATATGCTTCCAAAATATTATTTTGCTTTCTGTTGGCATAACTGCAAGGCATTTTAAAAAATTTAATTAATGTCAACGTGATTAAAGATGACTAACTATTGTCTACTGTATTGTCTGTATAGAATCAATTCAAATAAATATCTTGTAACAGTTACATCATCCTGATAATTTATCAAAAATCCTTAGAAAGGAAGATAATAGACTTACGCAAACATAAACCATTCACCAAGTGCCAAAGTCGTTTTATGTCCAAATTCTTCGAGTCGTTTTTGCAAAGCCAATACCTCTGATCATACAAAATTAAATGAAAACATTAAGATAAATGAAGTACAAAATAATACAAATTTACAATACAAATAACACAAATATGCTTTCCAAATTTCTGGATAAGTCTTGATTTAAACAGTTTAACCTAGTCAATATTTGTTAGCTTTCTTTATCTCTCAAGTTGTATATTTCAAGATTAATATTCGCTTGCATTTCTCTATTGTTTCCTTAGGAAACTGAAAATGTTGTATTTATCTTTTCCAAGCTTTCTTTCCCTAAGCCTTAAAGCCACTCACTTGTAAAAAGAAAATAATCAAAAGCTTTCCAAATCTTACCGATCCTAGTAGAAAATAAGAATTAAAGCAAACAATAGACCATACTACATCAAACCATTTCATTGGAGGAAAATAAACTTACCTTCAAACCGTTTCAAACCTACAAGTGCATGCACTTTCATAGAATAGACTTTTAAATTTTTCAACCACTCATCATCAAGAGAAATGATAAAATCCAAGCACTCTTGTAATCTTTCTTGCTCCCACAAAGCTGAAATCTTCTTTGTTATTTCATCCTCTGAAATTTTATCCTTTGAATTCTTTTTCTTTTGCTGCCGTTTCTTCTTTGTAGCACCTTGAGTCATTTTCTTCACTCTGATTACAAGGCAAGTCATTGATAAGAAGCTAAAAAATTGACATCGCTTTACCACTCTTAACTAAACTCAAGTTATGAAAGCTACTACAACACTAACATGACTAAATCAGCCCATATAACTCAAACAAGACATAGGAAGAACAATCTTTTATATTAACAACACCACACAGGGATCAAGTGATCAACAGCAGCCCCGCTGAGATAGAACCAAGACAGCAGACCACAGGAATTTCAAGAAGGCATGAAACCTAGCACACAATTCCAAATCAAGAAATTCTTGAGCCTAGATTGAATAACTTTTCAAGATCTACAACTTTCATGAAGGAACTATGGGCTAGAAACGTCTGCAGGTCTATTATTATGGGACGAACAGAACTGCAGCTGCAGGGCAATTGCAAAATAAAAGCAGTAGCAATACAACAGGCAGCAGCAGGATTATATAACAGGCAACAACAATTTCAGCAGCAGGTAAACAGAATAATAGAATATAGCAGCAACTAGACAACAAAATTATAGCAGAAGTAATAAGTTACTAACATTCAAGCAACAATACTACTTCGTTAACAATAACATTATTTCAACCTTTTCTACATGTAATGTCAGCAACACTCACATACAACAATAACATTATTTCAACCTTTATAAGCAAAAAGGCAAGACATCCAAGAGTAAATAAATTTATGCTGTCCCAAACATGAGCTTCACGTGGAGATCGATTCTAAGTGCTAGGGAGGTAATTGAGAAGGGTGCCATAAAGACTATTGGTGGGGGAAGTAGTGTCGGTGCCTAATCTCCTAAAGTTCCGGATTCTGTCACAAAAGAAGGATGGTAGTGATGTTCCAATGTATGTCAAAGATCTGTGGGAAAATCAGAGCTGGAATTGGACTACTCTCTCTGAGTTATTCTCTCAGCGGGAAATTGATGGAATTTGTAGTATTCCAGTACCTCTGTTTGATGAGGAAGATGTTTGGTCATGGCATCACTCGAAAGATGGGCGTTACAGCGTAAAGAGTGCTTACAACCTCTTGGTCGAAGAAGAGGTAAAGGATAAGGCAACCTCGTCAAATGGGCATGTAGTTTTTAATTGGAAGAGTATTTGGCATGCCCGTATTCCACCAAAGATCAAATTATTTGTGTGGAGAAGTGTGAGGGAGGGACTGCCTGTTATGAGCCGGTTGATGGCTAGGGGTATGAATGTAGATCAACGTTGCCCTATGTGTGGGGAGGGAGAGGAAACTACTGCTCATACGCTTCTCTTCTGCCTGCAGCATCCTCTATTTGGAGACATTCTGCCTTGCGGCTTGACACAAGGGCATTTGATGCTGATGGGTTTCGAGGTTGATGCAATCTGATGTATGGAAAGATCAAGGAGACGAATTGGTGGGATATTTGGTGCCTGGCGTGGGGAATCTGGTTGAAACGCAATGCATGGGTCTTTGATAAAAGAGAGAAGAGGGAGGCTGACATTCTTTACAAGACAATGTGCTTGGTGGGAGAGTTTGAAGAAGCTAATGCGAATGCTGATATGGGGATGCAAGTGCAGTATTTCAGCTCTAGATGGAAGCCTCCTGCTGCTGGTCTGTATAAGCTAAACACAGACGCAGCCTTCCAAGGTCAGTGGCTGGGAATTGGTGGGATATTGAGAAATGAGGAGGGGACTGCTGTGGTAGCCTTTTGTTCGAAAGAGAATGGGAAGGTAGATGTTGCTGTTGGTGAAGCGATTGGTATGAGATCCAGCCTAAAGATAGCCATGGAAGCGGGCTTTAGGAACTTTATCCTGGAAACTGATAACATTAAGTTGTTCCACCATCTGAAAAAGGGCTCCATATCTCCTTGCTCTTTTGGCAATTTGGTGAGGGATATTCTGATGCTTGCTAGAAGCTGTCAGAGTTGTGTTTTTTCTTTTGTTAGAAGGTCGGGTAATATTGTTGCCCATAGCTTAGCAAAGTTGAGTTTCAATTTTAGTGAATATCGTGTTTGGCTTGAAGAGTACCCAACTGAAATTCAGGGGGCTTTATGTCACGATATTGAAAACTTGGTGAAATAATAAATTGAGCTAAGATGCGTTTTTTCGTCAAAAAAAAAGAGTAAATAAATTTATACTCCATATATACCCAAAAAATCAGAGCCTTCAAATATGGCAAGTTTCACAAACCAAAAAACGGCAAATTTCACAAATCAGGCAAGTTTTTATTCAACGTTTAAAACCAAAAAAACGGCAAGTTTCACAAATTACTCAAATTTCAAAACCAAAATATGGCAAGTTTCACAAATTATCTACATCAAGATCAACAGGGTAAGTGGGTAACCAAAGCATAAAAGGCAAATATCAAGCTCAAACCAGAAAACCCCCGCATGTTCTTCAAAACCCAAAACAGAGGAAAAAAAAAACAACCTTATTTAAACAATATTAAGAATCAGAATAACAAACTACTCAACGTTTAAAACCAAAAATACGGCAAATTCACACATTACTCAAATTTCAAAACCAAAATATGACAAGTTTCACAAATTATCTACATCAAGATCAACAGGGTAAGTGGGTAACCAGAGCATAAAAGGCAAATATCAAGTTCAAACCAGAAAACCCCCGCATGTTCTTCATAAACCCAGAACAGAGGAAAAAAAAAAAACCTTATTTAAACAATACGGAGTATAAAGCAACAGTAGATGAACGAAATTCCAGAGAAATACAAAATAAGATATTTTACCATGTAAAATCAACTTGATCAAACTCAAAAACCCTAGAATGAGAGAATATGAAGCAAATAAAAGCAACCCACAAATTAAAAAAAAAAAAAAAACACATATCATACAGACATACACCATACTAACAAAAACAAGCTCATTAAACTTAGAAACAACAAAAAAGAAAGAAATTACCTCACAAGAAAAATATGATGACCCAAATGAGGAGAGAGAAAAAGGTTTTGAAATTTGACTACTAAAAATGGCAAAGAAAAATAAAAGAAGAAGACAGAGTTTTCATGAAAATGGAGGGTTTTTTTTTACTTTTTTGTGGAAATGGAGTTTTAACATGTAGAATTGGTAGGATTGTAGGAAGAACCGAAGAAGTAAAACCTATGAAATGATGGAGAGAGTTGGGCAGCAGAAATTACAACGCCAATAGCCCAATATTACCACCATTGTCAGTTCGTCCACTGCCCATGAACTCTAGTGACTAGTCGTTTCACATAATTATAATTGTACTGTGGAGGACTACGTAATACTCCGTAACATGTTTTTTTTTTCTCTTTCTTTTATATTTGTCTATGGAGTATGTGTATTTAAACATCAATTTATTTTTTGGTAAGTATACGTGTTTTAAAATTACATATACAATTGATAAAAGTTGACACGACACGAATTAAATAAGAAAAAAAATGATTATTGTTAAGGGTTTTTAATACATGTAATTAAACGGGTCAACATGATATGACACATTTAATTAAAACAGATCAGTATTGATATTCTCTAACAATATGTTAACCCGACTCAACCCATCTAATATAAAAACCCTATAATTTATATAATTATTGATATATTATATAGAATAAGGCTAATATTTTTCATACAACACGATACGAACCGGACACGAAAAAGTGAGTTAGTGTTAAATGTATTCAACACTTTTAATCAATCAGATTAACACGTCCTCAACTTGTTTAATTTCCGACACAAACAGACACGACATGATTGCCAGCCCTAGCTACATATAGTGCTTGTTTGGTTGCGTTGGAAATTAAATAATCATGCTAATTTACATTTCTTAAGAAATAATTTCTTTCATATATTTTATTTTATAAGAATTTGATGGTAATTTATATTTCTTAAGAAATAATTTCTTTCATATATTTTATTTCATAAGAATTTGATAAACTTGTTTGGTTGACATATGATAATTTGCATTTTTTGTAAATTGTGAATGACTTAGGGTAAGTTAGGTACAAAGTAATTACTATTAAAAAAAGGGGGGGAGGTGGAGTAATTAACTTCCTATGATTGGTAGGACCTCAAAATTTCCAAAAAGCTACAATTAGCCTATTTGTACGGAGTATATTTCATGCTAAACAAGCAACAAGATATCTAAGCATTTTATAGGAATTTCTCTTGCCTATATTAAACAAGTACAACCAAACAGCTCATATCATTTTCTTAAATTTGTTTCTTTTACAAAAAAAAAAAAAAAAAAAAATGCTTATTTCATTCCGCCAATGTTGGAATTGCATATGATCGTAAGGTCTTTATAAAGTTATTTGGTTATCGATGTGAGAAGTAATTTTTCATGAAAAATTCTATCTACCTAAGGGATTAGGTAATTGAATTCCTACCTTTTGTAATTTTTTTTCACTTATGTCATTTCCTCTTCGTTTTTTTTCAATCAAACAACTCCCCCTAATTACAATTTTAAGGAATTTCTATTTCTCATTTTTTTTATCTACAAAACGAAAAACTAATACCCCATACTATGTACTCTGCGATTAAATTAAAAGGTTAATGTACAACAAATAAATGGAGAATCCATCCTTTCTCCTCTCTATTTGTGGGTTTAGCCTCTATATGCAGGGACCAATCTGGAGATTGGGTCTTAAAGATAGTCTCCCACATCTGTTGTTGTGTTAACCCACTACAAGTTGAAATTCTTGCAATTTTATCAGCTTTTTTCTTAATTAAACAAAAATGATGAACCCATGTCACAATTTAGTCAGATTGTCACAATTAGAGCAAGATCAACTCTAATTCTATCTAGAATTTGTAACCTCCCAAATTAGAAACTTTTGAATGCTTGTTATGTACTATGTATTAAACAGAAGTTCTACTTAATCTGATGCTGAAACTGGAAACAACATTGTTTTAACTGCTCTAATGGCATGTATATCTAATTTGCTGTATGTTTAATATAGTAATTTGAGAATCACCATCTAGTTCGACACTGGTCAAGTACCAAGCACTGACTTAGAGCATTTCATTAATTTAAGTCAAGTTCTGCGAAGGATAGAAGACCTTAGGGGAAAGAACCCATACAAACTTTCTCGGAGCACTTACTAGTGTCCCACCTAGCCACTAAATGGGCAACCGTATAATTAATTATATGCTCTTTTTACATGAGAAAATATACAAGTATTAAAAGACATAACTATTCTACGTACATCATCGTAAATAAGCCTTATAGGAGACCATCTAGCAGCAGACCCTCTAATGGTGTTGATTACCCTTCCCCTACTCCCTTTTGACTCCTGATCATACACTTTCGTAACCCAATCTCTTAGCCATTTGACACCCTAACAGCAGCCACCTCCGCCAATTCCACATTCCAGTCCATAGGAGTCTTCTTATCCGCAGCCCATAATATGCGGCCAAAGTGATCCCTCGCAACAGCACCTAGACCACCACTTGTGCCAGCACCAAAGTGAGCGTCAACATTTATTTTAATTATACCTTCAGGTGGGCAGCTCCATGTAGCATCTTTTTCAAGTGGGTATTGAATACTCTAGTCTCATACAGCGAGTAATCACAAACAAGCTTCAAAAAACTAGCAGCAATAATACCCATATTCAGCGATATTCCTTCAAACAGGAGCTTATTTCTGCAAACCAAATAATAGACCAAGTTGTAGCCAAGATGGTACAGTAATAAAATAATCAAACACAAGATCAACAAATAAAGTTCGTTAAAAGACCAACTATCAATTAAACCGACTCAAAATAGTAACAAACAACCAAACTATCTTCATTAAAATTGCTACTCCATAATTTCCAATTTTCACTCAGCAATACTCACAATTTCAGCACAAACCCACAAATTCTTTTTTGTTTTTTTTTTTTTAAGAAAAAAACCCCATAATAAACTTAATAAAGTACAGGAGAAAAATCACAATTAAAATAATAGTAAAATTAAATTGATTTTTAGATAACAAAAAGGCCACTTAAATTTGAGGGAAAGAAAAGGAGAAAACATGTCTCACAATTTAAGGTGTTGTATTTCTTGCTTTCATATTCACTGTCCTTGTTCCGTCTTTTTCTTAGACGTTGTTGCGGCTCCTCCTGATCGCGCCCACAGGTCAGCCACCGTTGCTTTGTCCTCTTTCCATTGTTGCGGTTGTCGATGATGTGTTGCTGTCGAGACATAAAATTAAAAGAATTTGAGGATGATTAGATTAAAGATTTTTCTACAACACTCAATACCCATGGTGTTATAACTTTCAATATTTTCTACAACACTCAAATGCCCATCAAGGGTTTATTTTCATAACCTTTTGTATCCTATGTTACTACCTTAAATTGCCAAGAAGTATAGTTTACCAGATCAAATCTTTTTTACCAAAGAGACATCATATCACAGTGTTGGTGGTCCAACAAGCAAAGATGAAATTCAAAATTCAAACCGATCATTTAAAAAACGTACCAAAATTCAGAAAACCAAAGTAAAATTACAGAAAGAAACTGTCAAAAGGCCGTATAAGATCGAAACAAAGGGAAAAAAAGTAAGGCAAATAAATAGGAAACAGTTAAATACGATTGATTGCAGAAGAACATACCTGATTTGGGTTTGATATCTTCAAAGGTAACACCAAATTGTACCCGATCAAGGTCTATACAGCTCAATTTCTGTATCAAATTCGAAAAAACAAGATCAACAAACACGCATACAAAGCAAAAACTCCAGTGAACCATAAAAATATTATAACAAATTGAATAAAAAAAAAAACCGCCTTTCTGTCGCAGCCAATGAAAGGGGTGGCCCAAACAACCGTCGTAGGGAGGCGTTCTCTAGGATGACTGGATGAGTGACTACCCTAAAACCTCCGAACTTTCTCTGAGGAGAGAGAGAGAGATTGAAGGAGAAAGGTAAGGGCTGACCAGCTGAGGAGTAAGAAAGAGTTCAAGGGTAATAAAGCTGAGAACATTTCATTTCTGTAATAGAAACCACAAACACTGTTCCTAAGCACAGTCCAGCAAGTTTTGCCTTTTATACTCTCTTCCTCACCCACCCCTCCCCCTCCCCTCTGCTACCCCTTCCCCTGCCACCCCCATTCCCCCCCCCCCCCCCATTCCCTTCCTCTCCCTACTTCCCTCCTTTTCCCTTGGATGTAAGATATTTACACTAATTAATAAATACAAGTAATATATAAGTGGTAGTACTTTATATATAAAGGTTCAATATAGAGATCTCAAAACAATTCTGAATTTGCCTTAACCACAAAATACATTCATATTCTTGTCTCTGTGATTGTCCGCCGTGCCTTTAAGAATAGTCAGGCCTCAGGCCCAAGCTTTCTAATAGCTTCCGCTATCTCCAAATTCCAGAAAATGATTACAATCCTCACACCTGTAGATACAAATAAGAAAACTATAAGGCACAAGATGTTGCTTCAATTCTTTCTTTAACAATTTTTGAAATAATAAGATCAGCACAGTACAGCACAGTGTGATAGTCTCTCTCACTGCATTTCATTGACTGAAAAAAAAAAAAATTTGCTAGTCTGGCTATAAAGTAAACATCATCTTGAGATGGAGGTTACCAAAAAAATGTTGATCACATTTTATATATACATCTTGAGTAGAAACTTCAAGGTGTATGAGGTTGGTGAGCAAGGGACATCGACAGCAATTACGAGTTGCTGGAATTGTTGCAGCTCCGCTACCATGTATACCCCAGAATCTCGGAATTTTTATTTTTTTCGATTGATTGAATTTCATTTTGAGGTCTGTATAAAGAGTATACCTAATTTGCTCAAAATTCCAAACAAACCTGATAAACCATCTAGGATATTGATCTTCAAATCTAAGTCCAATAAGAATCCTAATTAGATTCATGATTAAACACTATTTGAGGTATTATTATTCTATGATTAAAAAAACAAACATCTTAATTAATGAGTTTGAGCAAAGACCCAGGAAAGAAAAAGGCATAATTTTTCAGAAATGAGAATTTTTACATCTTATTTAAGCACAACAAAATTGAAAGAGAGAAAATACATTACAAGTTAATGAGCTTAATCTATATTATAAGTGGAGAAAATATGTTATAGACCTGTTACCCACCTCCACCAAGCCACCATTGTGGGTGTACACAAGGAAGTAAAGTGGAAGAGGGGACAAGAATCAACCACAGCAGTTGGCAACTGCTACTCTTCAGCACATGAAGACAAGGGTCATTAAGGAAACACTTAAGAAAGTGGCAACATGGGTGTGATTTATGAATTGCTAATGTGCTGAAGAAGACAAACACCAATCAATGTTAGGTTAACCTTTTGTAATTGGTAGCTTGAGTATATAAGTATTAGTAAGAAGCCAGTAGAAATTATGTGAATTGTGAGGAAAATTGTTGAGAGAATGGTAACCTCAAGTTACTAAGAGAGTAATACCCTAATGTTATCAAAGAGAGTGATGACCTAGAGCTATTAACCTATCTCTTTGTAACGTTATTAGCCATTATTAATCAAATTTTAAGCTTTCATCTTTATTTATTAGCCTTGTTAAATCAGAAATACAAGCCTGATGATTTAGTCTATAACAAAATCAAGAGAATTGGGATCGAATTGGATCAGAAAGAACCTTAGCTTGTCAGTCATACTTTCACCACTTCCTGCAATCAAATCAAACAAAGAGCTTAATTCAATTCAATTAGAAAAGCTAGTGTTAGAAAAAAAAAAAAAAAAAAGCAGAGAGAAATTACGGCCAATAAACATAAAATTAAGATAAGCATAATTTTTTAACAATCCAAAGCTTTTTAATATGTTAGCTACACAATTTATCACGCTCGATTTTTCGAGTTTTTTTTTTCCTTTTCTTTTTTTTGAGATGAAACACTCGACTTCAAAAACCATTTCTCCTGGTCACTGCAACCAGTGTTAGGGGAAGAGAGACACAAAGAGGGAAGAAGAAAAGGTAACTAACAAAAGTACAACCATGGTACTTCAAACATGTCACCTTTGGTGTGCTCTTGGAGACAACTTGAAACAGACAAGAGAGCTTTCTTTACAGCTTGAAAATTTCCTGCCATATAAATTTCAGGAAAAGAGTTAATAATAATGTAGAAAAGGCATTTAAAACAGAGCTATGAAAAATCATGGACTGGTGACATTTTAGGCTTATATATGTCTTGTGTCATCCAATGCACAGCACTTCTTGATCTTAAACACTATTCCTATAAAGCAGCAAAAAAAAGACATCAAGGAAATCTACTTTGACATTGATCAAAATAGATCATAGTCTCCTCTTCATACTAAGACCCAAATAACTATACTCAGATGGACAGCATATATACATTAGTGTGGAAATATGTAGTACATTCTAGGCATATTACAAAATTCTTAAAAATGCAGAGTAAAGACACGAGATACAATCAATATAACTGGTAATGAAGTGGATTTCTCTAAGTCAGTTTAAGCAATACCATACCACCGACTTCTAGAATCAGCTTTCAGTTTCTGTACCTCTTATCTAACTGGGGCACAACGAAACAAACAATCCAAAATTGAACCAAAATTTATATCAACAAACTTAAAGATCTATCCATGAATTTATTCCACAAATTCAATTCGATTTCAATTTCATGACATTGCAAAACCTAGACTAGTAACCCCAATATCTTTATACCATATACTAATTCAAACATTAATACAAATGTCAATAACAATGGATGATTGATTAATTGAACATAATTCACAAGAAGTAGAATTATTGAACAATGCGACCTCCAATTCACCAATATATAACACAAAACTTAGCAGAATTAGAAATTGTAAAATATCAAATTTAACACTAATTCAACATAATATTACAGCAAGAAATCAATAATGATTGACAAAATAGTACTCACCTCATAAGCAGCGAGAATTTGGATGAAACGTTTCGAATCAGCAGTATCAGTATCCGCAGAAGAAACGAGGTCAGGGTGCGTTTCTTTAGCAAGCTTTCTAAAAGATGCCTTAATCTCCTCATAAGAAAAGTGCTTGACCAAGCCCGTAAAAAATGCACGCCCAAACCCAATTAGTCACTTATAATAATATGAACATTTAATAATAAACAAACTACAAACAAGTTAAAAAAATACAAAATATGAATACAGTAGGAATTACTTACTATCAATACATCACTTTTTAGGAATTACCGCCCCCAATGATTTTTTTTTAAAATTTACCACCCACCTTCAAATCTTCAAAATATCAATTGTTAAAACACGATCGGATTAGGCAAGTGTAACACTTTTTAAAAACACGGAGGGAGTACCACCTTCCACGTCATGTGGGGCCCATCAACGCGTTTTCTTTTCTATTTCCCTCTCGATTCTCCGATTTACACTCTCTGTTCATCACTCTTCCTAATATTCTCTATGAATTTGTGCGAAAAATCCAATTATTGCATTCAAGTATGTGTAATTGCTTTAAAAAAAAAAGTATGTGTAATTAGGATTTTAAAATCCCAAATTGATTGCAAAAACCCTTATTACACATTAATTGGAAGTTTTACCTAAACTAAGAGAGAATTTTTATGAAGAATGAAGAACAGAGAGGGAGAATCGAGGGAAGGGGAGGAAAAAAGAGGGAAAATAGAACAGAAAAATTCGGTTGGTGACCCCAACATGACGTCGTCAATGAAGGTTTGGGCAAAGTAGTGGTGGTAAATTTTGATGTTTTGAGATTTTGTAGGTGATAATTTTTTTTAAAAAAATAAATCATTCGAGGTGGTTATTCTAAAATGTGATGTATTGATGGTGCTATTTTTCAAATTTTCCTTTAGTATTAAAATATGTTTATTAATCCCTCCGTTTCGATTTAGTTGCAACATTAGAATGTTCACCAAATTTTAAAAATGTATAAGGTGGGGCCCAAAAGAGAATTTTTATAAAATAAGTATGGGAATTTATCAATGATAACTTGTGATTTTGACTTATATCTTTGCCACACATCATTAAACTTTTATTATCAATGATACACCCGAATATAATCCTAAATAACTACCGTAAGCATAGAGATAATCATGGCTTTGAAATATAATGGCTTACCGTAAACATCATATTAACCTGACGTTAGTATTCTTAGTAATACACGCTTTAATTAATTGGAAAACAATGAAAACACCTACTGCCCCTCCTATTTACTCTCCATGCAACTTTCCCTCCCACATTTCCTTCCTTTATTTAATAGTGTGTAGCAAAGATGAAAGCATACCAGCAAGGAAATAAGACTTATTTTTAAGCATACCAGCCAGGCTACTACAATTCCAAATATACAACATAGACTAATAACACGAGAGTAGCAATTTAATAAAAGTCTACATTGTCGGATCCAAGGTGAATACATTAAGTACTAATAACATGCCTTAATAAAATCATGATTGCAATTGCTGCTACGATCGCTATTGCAGCTAAAATAAACACATATGACTTTCAACATCAACGCAGCTCTTCACAATTCCAACTTAGACATGAAGCTCGTTCATTGGCCCTCAAGTTGCAACAAACCTATCTGCAGGTAGGCACGCAAAACAACAAATGAGAAGTTCAGAACTTACATAACTTTTTATGCTAAAGGCATAATAGACTTTCCATATCACAAGGTGATAGCTGTAGAAGTCAAACTATACTATGAGAATTCTGGTGCATTTTCTTATACAGGAACCTTACAATGAATAAATGAAGAGCAGTACTAGTATTCCGGAAGATGCTTCACTTAAGGCATTCCTAGATTGAGGGCTTCTTCACTTATTGGAGGCATGACTTTTAAGCTATCAATCAATGGTTTGGCTGCTAGAACTCATACTAAAGCCGTACTACTTCACAACAACTGTTCACAACCTTTTGCTTAGGAGTTGAACACCCATCAGTACTAGCACAGGTTGTGTTCAAATACAACCAGCTAGTATAAGCTTGTTTACACACAGAAAAAAAGGAAGATAGTTCTACCACCCAACCCAACTA